CGCTGGGCCCGCCGCCCCCCTGCCAGGGGCCGTGCCCCGGGGTGGGCAAAGGGGTCCCTGCCAGCACGGGTCAAAACTGCCCTTAAAAACTTGGGCGGAGTCCTGGAAAGCAAGATTCCTGTGTTTCTGACCGTTTCGGGCAATTTAAAATCACGTAAATGCCACGGTTTCATGTGTATGCACTCCAACAGCTGTTGCAGCAACGACCATCAAACTCCCTGCTTTGCTTCAAGGCCCCTTCCCCTTTGCGTTCCGAACCGCGCTCCCCATCCACTGCTTCATAGGAGACAAAACGAAATGAAACTCACGTCATCTCATACCCTGTCCCCAGGTGACCTACCTGCTCTCCACAGGAACAGCACTAAAGATGACTGTAAATGCAAGGGCCAACAAAACCCGTTCTCCGTTTCCACGTGCGTGACTGCGCTCAGTAGCAGGGGTTGGTTTTGCACGGGGCGGAGGACGGGGGGGCAGCTCTCCCTGCTGCTCCCACCCGGCTTTCCTGCAGGTACAGGGGAAAGCAAAGCGCCTGGCAAACGGGAAACACCCCTGGCAGGACCCGGGGGACAGCCAGGGTGGCTCCCGCGGGATTTTCACACAAAGCCAATTTCCTTGCAGAGAAAGCGTGCGGGGCAGGAGAGTGTTTACTCATGCAAATGCCACTCATGGGCTGTTTTACGATTCCATGCAGCTATTAAATCGGATAAAGTTTGGTTTTGCCTTTTACTGCAGGTTTATCTGGGGAGCGGCACTGTGGGTGGCGAGCGTGTGTCCCAGCTCCCGGACTTCACCCGGCGCAGCTCCGGGCCAGGCGTGAGGGCTCTCGGAAGCACCCAGTGCCACGCCGTGTGCCTGGCCTGCAGCCACCGCAGCCCAGGCTGCGGGGTCCCCCAGCCACGGCTCTGGCACCGACGTGGGTTGTGGGGGCACCTGCAAAGGTGGATGAGCACAGGGTGGGAAAAATGCCTTCCTCATCTGGAGAGGAGGGATGCATCCAGGGCCAGGGATGGCAGCAGGCAGGCACAGGCAGAGGGAACATCGCTGCCAGGAGCAACAGCAGCCACCTTCTCCAGTACATTTCACAGAGCAGCACTCGTTTCTGCTGCCCTGAATTAACAGGTACCAGGAGCTGCTTGAGCCTTACCTGCCTGCAGCTGGCAGCGGGGCAGAGGCTGGCTGAGGCAGCCCAGCCACAGGCTGCCAGACTTCTGCTGAGAAAGGAAAAGACGTTCAAGCAGCTACCCAGGGTGGTGGAACCCTTCGCAGGGTTCCTGCTGTCCCAAAATTGCTGGGCCTCTGCAATAAAAATTCAGGCCCAGGTGAGTAACCCTCCCCCTCCCCACCCCCCAGCTGGAGGGGCACAGCCGGCAGCACCACCCCAGGTTTTGGTGTTTTCTCCAGTGCCTGGCGTGGCTACACTCCTCTCCCAGCCCCATGCAGGCTTTCCTGCAGCACCAACCAAAGGCACTTCTTTTTTATTGCAGTCCTTAAAGCAGTCCAAACCAAACACGGCTCCTGGCCTACCTGCTGCTCCCCACACACCCCAAAACCTCATTTCTCAGTGAGAGGGGCAGCTGGGATGCTGCCGTGGATGGGGCGCAGCTGGGGCAGCAGGAGCCAGCAGCAGCAGGGGCTTTTGCCCACAGGGGAGGACATCTGCCGATGGGAAGGGGGGCCCTTATA